TCCTTAAAATGTCAATCATAACAATTAGTTATAAATTCAAATTCCCTGATATAATTCTATGGGTCAACAGAGAAGCTACCTAATTTATGGGTAATCTGGGATAGATCAGAAAGGGAGAACAGCACATGTATATTAACAAGTCCCTCGGGGCCAGCTTGCTCCCAAAGTGGTAGCAGAGATTGAGGAGAAGATTGTGGAGTAGATAGCCATTGTGCAGCCAACCATCTGGTAGGCGCATGTGAGCAATTATCTATAGATTGGCTATAAAGTGGCTGCTGGTTAACATGGGATGAGGAATCACAGGCTGTTGGCATCTCACTGTGTGCCTTGCAGTGATTTAGTTGCTGTTCGCAGCACAGTAAATTGTCATGTGGTCTGTAACAGGGTGGCTGTTGCTGATCACAAGAGGAGCCACAAGGGCACGGCCATTGACCGTGAGATCCATCCCAAGATGGCGCTGCCCTTTCACAGACGTGGCAAAGGGCCGCAACATGATGACCATCCCCTGTGCGAGCGGCCTGCCGGAAGGATATAGCAAGCGAGAGACATAGTATGGTGGGTGGGCAGTGAGAATGCCAAAGGGAACAAAGAATTCTCAGGAGAGTGAGAGGTCGGAGACTGAAGAAGTGCTTACAGAGGGATTAGAGCCACTGGGAGAATTAGGGGTCCTGGGAGAGGGAGGGGAAGATGATCGCACAGCGGGAGATAACTGTGAGGATTGATTTTGGAGATAGGGAGGAGGGGACGGACTGGGGGTACTTCCTCCAGTGGATCATGAAGGGCAAGAGGGGAGAGTTTGTGGTGCAGCAGAGTTATCTAAAAATATCTGAGCAGGCATACATGGTTTTATTAGAGAGGGGTGCATTCTCAGAGTGAGGAAAGCCTGTATATATGGAATTTCTGTTAACTTGTCACCAGTTTGACAAAAATCATATAAATTTTTGAGAATGCAGGGGTCAAATGTCCCCTCTTTGGGCCATGGGATGCCATTAAGTGGGTAGGTCAGCCAAGCCTCCTGGAAGTAAAATATTAATTGTTTAGTTTTTATGGTTCTTTTAACTTTAAGAGTACTCAGATTGGAAATCAAGCATTGCAAAGGGTCTTTTGGGAAGTACAGAAAATGTTTCCCATGGCTAAATCTCAGGCGAGAAATGGGCCGTGGTCCAAAGGTTGGGCCGTCACCTGTCCTTTGGGACAAATGGCGGTTAGGGTTCCAAATCTCGTATTTCTCAGTCATCACTGAGAGATCAACGAGTGGATTTCTTGTGGGTTTTAGTAACAGCTAGGCCATGAGAGCTTAAAGCTCTGAAGGACATGAGAGCCTTTCAGTGTGAACCCAGGGTGGTCCAGAAACACTCTGCCTTGGGCTGTCTAAGGACATGAGAGGGTCACACGAACACACAGAAAGGGGGAGAAAACCTGCCTGGGGCCTAGCCCAGCGCCAAAGAATTCTTCGGAGTCTGCTCACCTGTGATAAATTGGGCCAGTGTTGTTTGAGAGCAGTTGGTGACAAATTAAGCTGTTCCCGTGAGTCAAAAAGTGGAGAAATAATCCAGGATGTAATCTGGTTCGTGAATCGGCCTGGGACTCAAACTGGGGGGGCCCCAGGAGTCAATCGCCTGCCGATAGAGTCATGACACCAAATGGTAAGATTATAGTGCGTCCAAAAGTTCAGAAGTATAAAACAAAAGAGGCCTTTATTCTGAGAACACAGAGAAAACAAAAAACACCCCTGCCCCGACCACTGGAGTCTGGCTTTCTCTCTGGCAGACACGTGGCATGGGGGCATATATGTAGCTTAGGTTGGGGGTGGTACCTGAGGGGCATTAGGGATGCACAGGTAACCAATTAGTATTCTTTTGGCACCATAGGTAAATTCCTAGGGGTGGGGGAGATGGAGCTCCTTGGTTCTGCCTGAGGCTTTACCGGCTACAGTGTCCCGCCTGAGCCAAAACTCTTTCAGTGAGCCTGCGGGGAAAATGAAGATGCAGGAGGAGGGGACACAGAGTATTCTGACAAAATAGATGGCTCAGGTGGGAAGGATTAGAAATCTGAGACTGGGAAGAGAAACTAAGGGAAGGATTGGAGGCCACTGGGGGTGAGGAAGGGAAAGAGGATGACACAGAGGGCACAGAAACCTCTGGCTGAGAAAGCTGCAGGGTTTGGTCTGGGAGATATGGGGGAGGATCTGTAAAGGCAGGAGACGCATCACCTAAGGGGTTGGAGGGGAGGAAAGGAGAGTTCCTGGTGGAGCAGAGTGAGCTGGAAGTATTTGGGCCTAAAAATGAGAGGTTTCTGCCAACTTGTTGCCATTGTGACATAAGTATAAATAAAAGATCAGCTTTTTAGTTTTTATAGCCTTCTTGAAGCCAAGAGCACCAATGTTATGAACCAGGCACTTCAAAGGTATGTTTTTCAGGGAGCAGGAAATGATCCCCATGACCGAATTATAAGTGAGCTGAGAGAACAACTTTGCCTCTGGACATAAGAGCTTTAGCTCCGCCCCCCCCCCCCCCCCCCGAATGTGGAAGCTGTGCTGGATCACATCTATCAAAAGAAGCCATTACCTGTTTGGAAGTGTGACATGGAAGGTCCCAATGCATTCTCATTGGCCATCACTGAGAGTATGGGGTGGGGTCCCAGAGAACAAGAGAGTAAAGGTTTTGCCTCAGGCTCAAGGAACGTGAAAACAGCTATTTCTGTCTAGTGACTGCAAAGCATAGGTTTTCTGACACAAGCCTGCAAATTTTAGTAACAGAAACAGAAAACCTTGGATAACAGTTCACCTGTGATGAATGAGGAGGGTCAGTGTTGCCTGTGGATTAGTGGCAGCAAATAAACAGGGCCTGGAGGAAGGAAAGGTGGCTCATAGGCAGGGGAACTCAAAAAGGGAGTGACTTCCAGGAGCCAACACGCTCTGCCATCTGAGTCACGGCACCAAAATGTTAGCATTTCCTAGTGCAGTAAAGAAGCAGAATATAAGAAAAAGTAAAAATGGCCTTTTTATTTAAAATATGTGGGGAGGAGCCCACAACCAGCAAGGTTTTGGCCTTTTTTTTCTGACCAGATATGAGGGTGTGGGGTATATGTGACCTTTGAAGGGATGTGGTGCTTGAGGCAGGCATTGATGATGCGCAAGGAGCTAATTAAAAATTTTTTTGTACACACTGGGAAAGAAAAATAAGTTGTAATTGGGGGGGAAAAGGAAAAAGTAGCCATCAGGATAAACACCCCCAATTTTGCTTTACAACATGTTGAGCTACTGCCATGATGTCCTGTAATTTACTCTAGGGCAAAACTCTTTCAGTTAGCTTTGGGATCCATTCTGCAAACTCAGGGTCCCACAGCACCTGTCTCCTTTCAGAACTGTGTAAACCCATGTTCTCATCAACTTTGGAGCAGACGAGCAGTGAGAAAAATAGTTCATACCTCCATCTCTACACACAGATAGCATCTCTTTCCACCTGAAACTTGGTCCCCTACCCACAACCAGTCCTCCGTCTACACTTACTAAGTGCTCAATAAACACTTTTGACAGTAAAGCTGTCCAACAGCAAAGAGCAACACGCACTACTCTGGTTGCCTTGCTGGGAAGAAGTGACCCTGACCAGCTGTCTCCTCAGGGGAAAATGAAAACTTAATGACATTTCCGTGAAAATAATCCATAAGAACATCCATCTGTTTTGTAGTAATCTGAAGTCAACCATGCTAATGACCTTAATTGATCTGTTTTTTTTAGGAGAGTTTCTTTCCTGGGAAGAGGATGTACCAACACAGGTAGTCAATCTGCTTTGCCTCTGGTTGCTTCTCTTCCTGGCCTGTTTACATTTTGACTAAAACTGGTCACTGCTAAGGATGTGTAGCTGAAGTGGGGCCCAGGAGCAGTTTAGAGGCTTCTACATTTTGGAGTTAATATAAGTCTAACTGTAGTGCTTCTTCAAGCACCCACTGGTTCTGGGATCTGAGGTAGGAGATTTTCATCTCTAGATTATCCCTCACCCAGATATGCCCAATTGTGGTCTGAGTTGGCCATGCATATATAATGTTAGGATAAAATATATATGAAAAGTTTTTTAGTTATGTACGTTAAGAAGACTATGTACTCTCTTCCTCCCTTTTTTGCACGCTGTGTGTGTGCATGCATGTGTGTGTCTGTGCTTTGTATGTGTGTACATTGTGCATGTGCATGTGTGTGTACATGTGAGCATGTGGGTGTGAATGAGGATGTGATTGTGTGCATGTGTGCATGTGTGCATGTGCATGTACATGACTCTGTGTGCACATGTATGTGCTCGTATGCATGTATGTATGCATGTGAATATATATGTGTCCATGCATGCAAGTGTATGTGTGTTACTGGGGATTGAACCTTGGGCCTTTGCACTGAGCTACATCCCCAGCCTTTTTTTTTAAACTTGAGACAGGGTCTTGCTTACATTATTAACTCTTCTTGCCTAGGCCTCTCAGAGTACAGGAATTGCAAGTATGAGCCACCATGCCTGGCTTATATTTTTTTATGTTGCCCAAAGAAATTCCTCTCATTCAATGTAGCCCAGGCAAATGCAGCCTACTCGTGAGCTGTGGGTTAGACACAACCAAGTGGTGAAAGTGACAGTACATACCGTGTGGCTGTAAAGGCTGGAAGAAGGTAACATGTCTGCCTACTGCTCCTAAAGCAAGTTTGCTATTGTTTGCATTCCTCTACCCAGAGCCTCTGGCCAGCATCTAGGCATCTTGCTATTTAGCTCTTCTTCTTCAGAGTCCAGCTTTATGCTTCGATCTACCATATCCATCATAAGGAAAAACAGAGAACAACAAAGACCATTTTCTTTTATGTGCCACCAAATTTATTTGGGTCATTTTGGTTCTGTCATGGCTCTTAAGCATCCTTAAAGATCTGAATTGATTGAATAACAGAAACTTTCTGGAAAAACCTACTTAAGGGAAAACAGATTTTCCTCATCCCTGAGCCTCGTATCCTCCTACCTGGCCTTTCCTGTCCTAAGCCATGGGCAGCTGCTGTCCTGGGCATTTTCCTCCAGGGCAGCCTCTCAAGGGTGGGAGCAAAGGAAGGGGGAACCTCAAGAGTTCAGCACACCCCTAGGAAGTCCGGATGGCTGCTCTGTCCCAGAGCCAACCAGAATCCAGCCTGCTGCTGCAAGGTCCTGCCTGGCTTGACTTAGACTCTAAGCTGGGGACACACACTGGCTCTGCCTTTCTACTCCAGAGGAGCTCAATTTCAGCACACACCATAAGGCTACCTATTTTGAAGCCCTCCTTGAGTCCACCCTGATTTCTAGGTCACACAGTCCTGCGCCAACCACTCTCCTCCATCCTTGGGCTTCACTTTCAAGTTAACTTCCTGACTGCCAGGGCCAGAGCCTGCAGTAGCTGGTCAGCCTCCCAAGAAGCTCATGGAAGTCCACATGGAACCTAGATGATGAGAAGTAGTAGACGAAGGGGTCAACACAGGAGTTCAGAGTGCTGAGGAGCAGTACTAAACTTCTCCATCTCGGGCTCTTGCCCTGAATGTAGCCCACCACATGTGACACATAAAAGGGCCCAAAGCAGAAAAGGAAGTTGAGCAGAGTGGCCACCACCAGGCCAACAACCCTTCTGCGCCGGCGCCTGCTGGAGCTCCGGCCAAGAATCCACACCAGGCGGCTGTAGCAGTAGCTGGTGATGAGCAGAGGCACCACAAAAAGGACCACACTCATCTCCAAACGGACTGGCAGGAGAATGGCCAGCTGGTCCTGCCTGAATTCCAGGTAACAGGTCCCATTAGAGCCCTGGCTTTCGCTGGAGTTCCCCCAGAATTCAATGACATAGATTACACTGCAGTGAGAACTTGCCAGGAACCAGCAGATGCCACTGACTAGCCCAGCTTGAGCCAGTCTCGGCCGGGTCTTGTACCACAGAGGGTAGGCCACGCTCAGGAGACGCTCAACACTCACAGCTGCCAGGAAGAGGGAGGTGACGTTGATACTGGTGAAAAAGAGAAAGCCGGAGATGGGGCAGAGGATGAAGGACAGGGGCCAGGTCATCCCACTGGCCGCTTCCACCATGCGGAAGGGCAGGAAGAGCAGCAGCAGCAGGTCCGAGAGGGTCAGGTTGAGCAGCAACACATCCACAGCCACTGGGCGGCGCCGGAGTTTACTCACGAAGATCACCAGGGCCATCAGGTTGAGGGGCAGCCCCACCAGGAAAGTGAATAGGTACACGGAGAAGTAGAGCCAGTGGTTGCCCGGGAAGAATGACGGATCCAGGTTTGTCTCCACCATCTTGGCCACTGATACAAGACAGAGATGGAGGTGGCAGTCTGGCTGGGGGATCTGCCTGTCCCTCTCTACAGCATCTCACCCATCAGCCAGTAATCTTGTCACCAAGACCACACTGCATGTCCCCTATGTTTCCCCAGCAGGGTCAGCCTGCCTGTCTTCCTGGTCCTACTGTGTCTCCTGTCATTCCCCAAACACAGAAAGCACCAAAGCACTCGTCCACCCAGCCCCTCAGCCTCATGCTCACCTGCTTATTGGAGAACCCAAGCGCTTTGCCATGCAGCAACTTGCCGGCTCTGCAGACCAAGTGGGTGAGCTATTTATTTGCAGAAATGATAAAGACCTGGCAGTGCCCATGATGTCACTCACTGTAGAACAGCAGCACAAAAGATGCCTTGAGCTCTGTTACCAGGGCTGCGTCAGTATGCAAAAAGAAGAGCAAATTCCACAACCTTGAGCCTCACTCCTCCTCTCCCCTGGCCACTCAGCTGGGATGCCCCAAACAGGCCCAAGCCAAATGCTGTGACTTCTCCTCCCCTCTCCTCCACTTGAATTCTGTCTGCTTCTCTAGAATGGCACTTTTCCAGTTTGCTTCTTAAGGCCAGGAGGCATGATGTGATGACACCGGGCTGGGCTCTAGAGCTGATTCTCTTTCCTGCTACCTTAGTGATTCAGGGTAAGTGACTTCAGTTCTGTGTCCCCCTTTCCCATCTATAACAGGGAGATAATTGTGGTGACACTCTCATAGACTAAGATATTAATGCATGTCAAATGCTTAGAACAGGTCCATAGATCCTGGCACTGTCCCTGCTGTAGTCCCTGGTGCAGTGCTGGGTTGTCCCTGGGGTGAAGATGATGGTGGTGATGGCTGTGGTGACAACACTAGCAGCTACTCCAGTGACATTATGACCCTATTCTTAGGGCACACCAGTTTTGTGTCTCAAAGAACTTTTATGTCACAAAGGGGCAGTGACTTGCTCCAACTGAAATACTTTGTTTAATATCACCAACAAGTCCAAGCTTTGTTTAATATCACCAACAAGTCCAAGCTCTGGGTGGCTTTAATTGGAATGTCTTTGTTCACTCAAATACTTGCCAGTTACACTGCAATAGCATTTGCCACACATTAGAATGATTATCAGCAAAATTCAGACAGTACTGAGACAGTGAGAGGCTCCTGAGGCTCCTCTTCTGCCCCATGCTGGCCAGAGTGGATGTGGTCTCCTGGAATGTTGTCCCGCCCCTTTCTCCTTGCTACCTTTGCTTCCCCCTAAGGATGCACTTCCACAACTTACCTTGGTGTCCTCCTAGATCACTTTGCCACCACTCACCTGGCTGATGCAACAGGAGATGCAGCTTGGCTGTGGCTGAGGTGCCTCCCCGGCCAAGCACAGCTCCATATGCTGCTGCCTTCTCTTAAGAAGCAATGGGAAACCACTCCGAGGTAGAAAACATCAGGAAGGGATCCACATCTATTATTAACATCTTCAACTTCCCCAAACCCCAGTAAGCTGTGGCTAGCCCAGCTAGCTCTCCTGAAGATTCCCTAGATTTGGCCTTGTTATTTTTTGCTATAGGTGTGACAGCTGTCAGTCAATCAACCTTATCTCCTGTGTCCCATGTACAGTCTCCATGATAGTCGTGACTTTCCTGAATGCACCATACCTGCTGCTCTGGGAGACGTCTGGTTGATTCTTCCAGGCTTGAATTTGAATCAAATAGTAGAATTGAATTTGGGCCAATCAGTCAGTTCCAGCCAGAAAACTAGAGTGTAGACCAATTTGCAGGCTCAGATTTAGAGCAATCCAGTGGTAGAATTTAGACCAATCTGCTAGCTTGGGCTGTATATATAATATATTCAGTCACAGAATAACATATATAAAATATAAAGACAGGATCCCTCCAGTGCTCGGTAACAATACCAAGTGTTGGCAAGGACGGGGGAAACCTAAACTCCCATTCATTGCTGTGAGAATACACAACAGTACAACCTCTTTGGAAACAATTTGGCAGGCTCTTAAAAGTTAAACATCAATTTACCATGAGAGCCAACAACTTCATTACACATATTCACTTATAAGAAATGAAAACATATGTACATGCAAAGACTTTCTCATTAATGTGCATAACAGTATTCATCATAGTAGCTGAAAAGAACCATTTGCCAATGAATGAATAAACAAATGTGCACATCGTACAATGATATCCTATTGGACAATGAATACAACACACTACCGATGCATACTACAGCATGGATTAACATTATGCTAAGTGAAACAAGCCGGACATAGACCATATCTTATATGATTCATTTAGACAAGATGTTCAGAACAGGCAAATATAGAGATAGAAGTAGGTTAGTTGTTAGCCTAGGGACTGGGGGTAGAAATGGAGATGAACTGTAAATGAATATGAGGTATCTTAGTGGGGTAGTGAAAGTTCCAAGAGCTAGATGATGGCCATGGGCGCGCCTAACAGTAAGTTTACTACATTCCATTGACTCATAGACATTGGCGCGGTGAATTTTATTTTACATACATTATACCTCAATTGAAGATAGCTGGGAAGAAAACAACGCAGACTCGTTTCCCTGTCTTTATGGTTATACTGGAGATAGAGTGGAGTGACAGGGAGTAAAATAAAGCCATCAAAGCAAAGAAGAGAATCAGAAGACAATGCAGGGAGGAGAACCAAAGGTCTGCAGCTTGGCCTCCTAAGGCAAGAGGGGCGGGAGAGGGTAGGGGAACCACACAGGCCTCCCTTCTTGAAGAGAAGCAAGGCAGGCCAGTGGCTGGGTGAGCAAATGCAGGGTGGAATTTAGTCAGCATTTCCCTGATTGCCTGGTGTCTGCTCATCTGAAAAGCATCAGCCTGCTAAACGGAATAGTCCTGTGAGCCAAAGCACTGTCCTGTATGTTCAGATACTAAAGAGGCTCAGGCTGGAGGATTGCTTGACTCTAGGAGTTAGAAAATATCCTGGGTAACATGGTGAGACGTTGTCTCTTAAAAAGCAAGCGAAATGATGGGAAAGAATTATGTGAAGATGAAACGAGACAACAGTCATTGTAAAGCATTCAGCATGGTACCTGTCACTTGTTAGGGACAGTTTGCAACTGTCCCCAACAGCAGTTTGTAGCCCTCCCCAGGCCAGGTTTGTTTGCAGTTCAAATGCTGCCCCCTTGTGAGTTCACATGGTATGGCTGTATTATCATCTTGCCTCCTGCCTCCAGCAATTAAAATGCACTTTACAGTAAGTATATCATCAGGGTGGCCACCTTCAGATTAGAGGCAAACTTCTCTCCTCCATTCTGTGAGCAGGAGGCCGGTCTGTAGTCAGTCAACAGACAGGCAGTCAGGACTTGGGGTGCGAAACAGGCTGGAGACATAGCTGGCTTGAGCCCAGGTCCGGGCGGGCCTTCACTCTCTGTGTACCAAGATGCTGTCTCTCCAGGCTCAGCTCTTTCCATGGTGAGACAGCTCCAGGCAATGCTGCCATGCTGTTCTGGAAGAGGCCTGGAGAAGCCACCGGACTCTGCTCCGTGTCCCTTTCACCCCGCAGGGGCTGCTACTTCTGGGATGGTCCTCCTGGCTTTCGTGCAGCACATGTCATCCCCCGGCTAGGACCTCTCCCTAAGTAGCCTGTCACCAGTGGATTGAATACTACACTCCAGGCCCCTGTGATGAGCCCCAACTTGCGCCAGGGACCTCCCATGTTGGGGTGCAGGAAGCCAGCCACATTGGAGGCACTGTAGGGGCCCAGGCACAAAAGCAGCGTAAGCAGGGCCCCACCAGCTACCCAGGCTGCCCGTACCTTCCGCCTGTGGCTCAGGCCTGAGTGGACCAGTGCCCGGAGGCAGCCCACGTAGCAGAAGGCCGTGATGATCAAGGGCACAAAGAATAGCAGCAGAGAGAAGCTGAGGCGGGCGGGGCCAGCAGAACCAGGATCCCAGGCCTCCAGGCACACAGGGGAGCCATTAACAGCTTGGTTGATGCCCAGGGAAGTGGTGCTATTGTGCAGCCAACCTCCTGGAGCCTCTAATATGAGAACCAACCCCAGGTGACAGAGCACCAGGACCCAGATGGCCACACACACCCCCCAGGAATAGCGCAGCCTCCGGAGGGCTTGATAGCCCAGGGGAAAGGCAGCCCCCATGTAGCGCCCAGCGCTCAAGGCAGCCAGGAAGACACCGCCCGCATATATCGGGGTGAAGTGGGCCAGGGCAAAGATTGGGCAGAGTGCAGCTGGGAAGGGCCAGACCCCCCAGGCCAGGGCCTCCACTGCCTTCAGGGGCAGTGAGATGGCCAGCAGGAGGTCAGAGCAGCCCAAGTGGAGGGTGTAGACCAAATTGGGGGTGAGGCGGAGTCGGGCTTGCGCCACCACACCTCGGAGGACCAGCACATTGAGCGGGAAGCCCAGCGCAAAGGCGGCCACATAGAAGGCGAAGAAGAGCTGCGGGGGCAAATCCATAGGGCTGGAGACAGGGGCTATCAGTGCTGCTGTGCTCCCTGTCCTCAGATCGCCAGCCAGGGCAGGAGGAGCTCCTGGAATTCCCACTCTGGCTTCACCACAGCCTGGAGAAGCAGAGTCCAGGGTAGGTGCTGGATCAGAAATGAGGGTGTCAAGCCTTTGGTCCACACTGCCTGTACACCATGGGACCTCTCATGAGGAAAGAGTGCAGGTGTGCTGTCCCAGGAGAGGGCCCGCCCCTGGATTCCTGAGACCCTGGGGAGAGAGCAGAGGGAGAGTTCAGCACAGGGTTGGAGAGCATACGTGGGCATGGGAATTAGAGCCCTGATCCACTCCCTGCCCCTTCCCCTGGCAAGAGGAACTGCTCCCCACAGTGTAGGGCATAAGTGGGGACCCCTCTCTTGGAAGAAGAGAAGTCAGTGTTTGGATACAAAGAACACCAGGCCGAGGGGTAGACAAATGGAGTCCCAGAGGAGAGCCCAGCCACAAGCCAGGTCGCATCAGTGTCCTGGGTCACAACCTGAAATCTCAGGAGTTAACCTGGGTGGGAAGACCTGGGAGTCTGTGGAATAGTTGTTGGTGAAGAGTGAAGAGAGGAACGACAGAAAGCGCCACTTACCTCTTGATGCTGCCAGATGTTTCTGAGGCTCCAGATTCCCCTCTCCAGGCTCCCCAGAGGATGCCCAGAATGGGCAGTGAGCTGGAAGGGAGTGAAGGGCGGGGTGGCAGGGCCATTAGCTGAGGCACTAGCAGCTTGTGTGAGCAGCTAATGGGGCATCCCAGGCTAGGACTGAGGCTGAGCTGCAGGATGTGGGACTTCCAAGAAGATGCTGGGACACAGAAGGGGGTGTGCGTAGGAACGGGGTTCTGTCAGGTCAGATGAGGTCTATTTAGTCAGTGCCTTGAAGGTCAGGGTTTATGAGGCACAGTCAGACCTCAGCCCTGTGCCCTACCCACTTACCCACTGCCTGCTCAGTCCTGCCCCAGGGACCAAGTCTTCCCTGCTGCTGGATGAAGGCACAGGCAGACCCCAGTCCTTTTTCGCACCCTGAGTGACAACCTTCTCTCGTGACTCCAGCCCTCCCATCCATCATCATGGAGTAATGCAAAAGTGAGTGAGTGATGGAATCGTGCCCATGGACAGCTTGCACAGGCTGCAGGCACGCTTTCACCGAGACAGGGCTCTTCTCGTCCCCGTTTCCTTACCCTGCTGGTTCTGTGACAGTGTTTTATGACCTGTGCAGTGTTGGCCGAAGACAGGGGAAGGAACCAGTCAGATCCTTGTGGTTGGCTCTGGAGCAGCCAGTCTGTGGTCTCTGCTGTGGTCTCTCTGAGGGGCAGCACTGTCTGAGCTAACTGCTCCCTGGGTATGGGGTGAGGACACTGGGATGGGCTCCGTGGAGACGGGAGGGAGGGGGTCTCTGGTAGGTTGCTTTGTTCCTCTCAGTGCTGGGAATCCAGCTGGGCACTCAGCCCTCCTTGGTGTGTGTGATGGTGGGGGGGTCCTTTTGTCTTTCTAGGAAAACTTCCTAAGCAAAATTTAAAATGGTCCTGAACTCCCGCCCCCTACCTCTCTCCATCTTCCTCCCTTCTCTCAGATGTACATGAAAGCTCTCTGAGTCTGTCTCCGACTGTGCCCATGTGTCTCTGTGTATCTCTTTGCCCCCCAAAGTGACTTCATAGTTCTTTGCTTTTAGAATTCTTAGGGGCTTGTGTTGGTCTCCAGAGTGCTCTGCCTCTTCCAGATTTCAAGGCAGTGTAATCAGCTGCTCTCACCAGGCTGCGGGCTGTGGTTCTCCTATATCAACATCTCCCTCCAAAGACAGTATCCAACTTCCTCCTCTGATGATGGAGTCCAGATTGGTGTTTGTTTATTTGTTTGGGAATTTTTTTCAGGGGGAGGTAGTTCCAACTCCATGGTAGACACCTCACCCTGAACATAGAACGGCTTAATACCTGCTGAGTATTTTGTGTTTGGGAACACTGAAAAACTAACAGAACGGAGAAAAACATCAGAGTACCATGTCACCTCCCATGACAAGTGCTGGAAAAAGGGCAGAGCTCTTGGGAAGCAATGGGTCTTCCAGGTCTCTGCTTTGGCTCCACTCAGCCAGCTGTTCAGTCCCTTTCAAGTGTCACCAGCTCACAAGGGTTTCATGGTTCCTCTAGCTAATCTCTCGCCTGCCTGCCCTCTATTCATCCTTGTGTTTAGTGAAGATTTTGGTCTGATTTGCCCACTCATGGTGCACAGTAGATGCTGTGGGACCTGGAGGATTGTGAGACCTCCAGGGCTGAGGGGCTGGGTGGAGGCTGCTGTGTTCTGCAGTCCCGGGCCTCCCAGCTTCCTGGCCACCTGCTCTCCACGCCTCAGCAGTGTCTGTTGACAGCCACATCTCATGGTCAATGGCTCATAAAGTCAGTTTATGTCAGCCGCTGGACTCAGGAACAGGATGGCAAGGCACCCGATGGTTGCCAGGAGCACGAGCCAGGGCTTATCAAGATCAGGGCTTCCTTCACCTCCTTCCAGGGCCTCCTGTCCTACAAACCTTTGGACTACACTAGACACCTCCAAGAATGGCACTGGGTCCTAGCCCTTTTGTCCCTTAACGATAGACTCTGAACTGGATTAATTAGTGTTCAGTAAATGTCTGTCCTTACAAAATGAATGGATCACTGAATAGCACAGGGCTTCATCTTTAGGTCCAGAAACCCAAAACTTCCTTCTCTCATTCAAACACTTTTCAAAGTCCCACCTTCCTTCAGTGATCCTAATGGCTCACAGGAACTCAAACTAGAAACAAAGTGGATTGATGGTACAAACAGTGGATCCTTCTGCCATGATTCTAAGAACTGCCATTCTAGGATTGAGCAGAGATGGGAAGGGAGAACAGGAAAGGAAAGTGACACTTTGGGGGAACTTATATGTGGTGCACGTACCGTCCATTCATCACCTTGATGCTTCGTAAAGCATACATCTCTGCCTCTGAGGAAAAGGGGCCGTGGCCCTTTGGCTGGGCAGGTGAAAGAATGGATGGAGTGAGTTTAACCTGAGCAGGGGAGGGGACTAGAACACCTGCCTGGAACTTCTGAGCCAGTGAAACCAACAGAGACCTGGGAAGAGAGTGAGGGTGAAAGACAGGTCAACTGTGAGGTACCTCTGGGCCCGTGGCCTTTGAATATTTTGCAGCTGTGAATGTGAAAGAACTTGGTAGATCCCCTTTTGAGAATAAGTATGAATACTAACTTCGTTTTTTTTTTTTATATGCTTCAAGAAATATAAGCAAAACATGGGAATTTTATTTTTTAGGGACTTCAGGTTTCTGTACTTGAACTTGTGAACTGTGACTTTAACATGTAGAAGATCAGACCAAAATTCCTATACTGTCTCAAAATTAAAAACAAGCTGGGGTTTTAGCTCTGTTTGAAGGACCTGGGTTCAATCCCCATTAGCCTAACAATTAAAAAGAAATTGTCATGGCATCTCCACTTTATAGAGGCAGAAACTAAGGCTCTGGCATGTCAGCAAAATCTGAAAGGATCCCACAGCTGAAGATGAAGAAAAAGAACCAAGGCACCAACTTGTGCCACAGGTGCAAAACCAGGCAGCAAGCCAACAGACCCTTCAACCTGCTGACTTTGTCACAAAATAACCATGACTCCCTTTCCTTCTCTCCAGGCCCCACAGGGTCATCCTCATCTCCTTGCCCCCACTCTGACTCCACAAATGGGGAAGAATTAGCTCATTCTTAGAAGTGGCATCTGTGCCATTTTTATTTTGCAGCTCTTTGTCCATGGTGCATGTCCTGGTCAGTTCGTCTGCTCAGCCCCTGGGACCTGAGGGCAGGGCCACTGCAGTGTCATCCTCTCCGTGGAAGCCTTGCTTGCTGGGGACAGTGCCTATTTCTACTTCATTTCTGTCCATCCTTGGTATTCCCCAAGGGGCAGAAATTGAGCTTAAAAGTCAGTGAGTTGGGGTGGAGGGGTCAAAAGAAAAGGGAAGAAGAAAACATAGTGACATGTGGGGCCCAGAAGGAACACAGCAAGCTGGCGCAGGGATTGGGAGGGGTAGGTGGTGGCAGAGGCTGGGGCTGGGGCTGGGGCTGGGGCTGGGGGCTGTGCAGCAGAAGGTGAATTTCTAGATGAGAAAGAGAGGAAGAAAGACAGGCACAGGCTTTTTGGTGGAGAGGGGTTACCAGTACTAAGAAGGAAGTCTGGCTCTGGGACTTCCCTGGCTCAAGGTTCTCCCCAGTGACTGGGGCAAGGGTGGCACTGTGACTCAGCAGCAGCAGCTGGAGACCCTCTGGGACTCTGTGGTGCCTTTGGCCCAGGCATTTTCACCACTGTCAGTTCCGGCATCATTGTTTGAGGGTCACGTAGTCCACGTCTTCATGCACACGGGACCGCTCTCCAACCCCAAACTGCACCAGCTCTGAGTAATGGATCCCCTCGTCTTCTGACAGATCTGGTACCACATTCTCGTAGTCACCCTGAGAAAGCCACACTGTGGTGAGCCTGACCTCACCCACACGTCTCCTGCCCTTACCTTTCTAGCCCTGCTCTCCTTCACACCACCTGAGGGGCCAAAGCCCAAGCCCAGCCATGCTGTCCAGAAACTCAGCCCCTCTCACTCAGAGGCATCTGCTCTGGCATGCCCTTTGATCACAGCTCTGCCTGAGCAAATGTGTCCCCTAACTGTCATGAGTTGGAAAGTTAGTCCCCAAATTGGAAGTGGAAACTTTGGGAGGTGACTGGGTTAATGGGTTAACTGATTAATGGGCTAATGGATAGAAGAGAGTACACAGCTATAATCCCAGAACTCTGAGAGGCTGAGGCAGGAGGATCACAAGTTTGAGTTTTGCATGGGCAGTTTAGCAATTTAGCAAGAACTTATATGTAAAAAATAAAATTTTTTAAGGACTTCAGAAGTAACTCAGTGCAAAGACCCTGGGTTCAATCCCTGATACTATAAATAAATAAATAGATCTCCCCTACACGACTGTTTCATGCCTTGTGCCACCTCAAGACTCTGTAGAGAATCCCCACCAGGAAGAAGTTCAGCACCAGATGCAGCCCCTTAATCTTGGACTGTGAGACCCATGAGCCTCTTCACTTTATAAATGACTCAGGCTCAGGTATTTAGTTACAGCAACAGAAGACAGGCTAAAACAGCAACCCTCTCCAAATGACACCCAGCCTGAATCATCATGGACATCTTCTCAAGTCCTTCTACACAGGGCTCCCAACTGAGACCAGTTCCAGGTCTCCCAGCCTCCTGCAGCCCTGTCCTCTTACCACATGACGTTTCTGCACCACTGAGTATGTGACTGTGTCATTGTTATTCGCGAGAGGTCCTTGCATTTCAGAGGTCCCTGCGTCTCTGAGTGAGAGAGCAAATAAATGGCCATAAGTGGAACCCTTCCCCAGGACTTCCTTCTGCTGACTCCCTTAGGGTCTTGCTGGACTGGATGTCTGGGGTACCCAGTGCTCGCAGCAAGAGCTGATGAAGAGGCAGGCACCTGTGTGTATCAGTGTCTTGGTGTGTGAAACCAAAGCTAACTCCAGACACACATGCCCCTTACTGTAGGAAACAGGTACCCTTCTGGTGACTGTCCCCCTTGCCCAGGGTTATCACGGGAAGGAGTGTGCACGCATGCATGGCTGTGTCTGGCAGGTAGGAAAGGAATTTTCCCCTCTCACTTCCCTCCCAGGGCGCCACCCTCCCCGCTCCTCAGTACCCAGTTCTCGGTGCATCCATCTCGGGAAAGCGCAAGGCAGCATAGCTAATGCTATCTTCTATCACTGGATTATAGCATCCCAAGGAGTGGGGGCCTTCCGAGAGAGGTGCCCTTCTAACCTGGGAGAGAGACAGGGTTGGGCTCTGACTCTCCCTCCCCCACCTCCTCCCCTGACTTCTGACTCCCCAGATCTCCCCAGAGGACTTTTTATCACTCTTCTTCACTTGGATCCTCAAGGACTCCCCTGCATTTCTACCTTTTTATTCTGCACAAAGAAGCTTTGACTACTGGAATTTTCCTGAGCCCCCTGCCGGCTCCTGGCCCTCTTCCTGCTAAGAAACAAAGGCTCTGTGAGAGTCAAGGGCAAAGGAAGGGGGTGGTGCAGATTCTGCAGGTGGGAGCTGAGGGATGCACCCAGGGAGAGCAATGGAGGGGGGTGCTCACTGTTGTTGAAACTTCATTCCCCAAATGGCCAGGATGACGATGCCCAGGCAGGACCCGATCCCTATGGCCGCTCGTCTGCCAAGGCTCTCTGGGCTGTCTGGTGGAGAAAGGAGAGAACGTGTCCACTTGGCTCAGTGGCATTAGCCTGCCACACATGCTCCAGGTCTGCAGGCCTGGTCTCACATGTGGTCTCCTGCAAGCATGAGACAGGGATGCATTGAAAGAGTGAGAAGCGGCTCCAGTCCTTGGGACCTTCTGGTAGGAGCACAGGACTTCATCTTTCTTTGAAGCAGGAGCCCAAACAAAGCTGTTACTCCAGCCTTATAAATGGTACAGAACTCAGGGAAGTTTGACCAACCTATTAGAATTTAAAATGTTCCAGGCCTTGAACCCAGAAAATCCAGGTGGGGATGTATCCTGCACTTGTCCTTTCAGAGGTGTCCAAAGCAACAAACAGCACACTTTGAGGAGGCACAGGAGAGATGGGATGGGCAGTGCTCATTCAAGGCACACAGAGCAGTCGTGAGAAGGAGGCAGAGCTCTAATATCTGAGAATGGAGACCCAGGCACAGTGTTTTGTGTAGTGCCCAGTGCATTTCCCAGTACCAAGCTCAGGTTCCTTTCTTCTAGGCTCCTTTCCTCTGGCTTTGCAGGAAATGAATCTCTATCCTGGTAGCCATGGTTGCTGCCATTTATGTGAGAAAGTACCAGCATCTTTAGCCACAGATATGCACAGACACAGAACAGTCTCCAAGACTTCTTATTACATGTGAAAAAGAGAAGTCCAGGGCAGTGTGTGAACTTATGAGCTCTACTACCACTTGTAAAATTAGGAAGTAGGCATAAGCGTAGAACTGTGTATGTACATTGAGTGTGCGGGAAACCTGTCCCTGTGCAGAGAGCCCTAAGCTGCTCGCAAGGAGAGCACTAACATTCTCAGGGGCAAAGGTGAGAATGTCTCTCTATGTACCTTTTCAGGCTTAAAATTTGTTTTTACCATGTACTTGTAATATCTTGCTTTTGAAACTCTAAAAATAAAAAAGGATCTTTTTTTTAAAAGAGGAGCCTTTTAAAAATAAAAATAAAAAAGAGAGCACTTGGATGTCTGGACAGTGGGCGCAGCCTGAGTGGGAATCCTACATACAGGAAGGAGACATTCAAGCAAGGATACCAACAGAGAGGCAGGAAAGGGAGCGCCCTCCAGAGCTGCGGGCAAGACAGGGATGTGGGGGCCGTGGTCCAGCAGGCCCATCTTTGGGCATCACTGAAGGAACAGCCAGGACAAGAATGCATCTGAGAAGAAGACAGGGACTTACAGTAGACGGTGAGGGTGCTGGGGGGCGACTCGCCCGTTCCCAGCCTGTTGGAGACCTGGCACCTGTAGGAGCCCGAGTGTTCGATCTGCAGAGGCTCCAGCCTCAGTGTCCGGCCATTGTACTGGAGGTCTTGGTTATTCCAGTCAAACCAGGTGTAGTGTACCACAGGAGGGTTGGCATCACTCTCACAAGTCAAGGCTGCCTTCCTCCCCTCCATCACTCTGTCCCCTGGGGTGAAAGACACGCGCAGCCTCCGGGGTGCATCTGTAAGGGAAAATCAAGTCAAGGCCTGTGCAGCCGGGCACCCACTCCTCTCCACTCCCAGCCTCTGGTTCCTGCCACTCACACAGCACTTGGAGTCTCCGGATCTCTGACATGGTCTCTCCGATGGAGTTATTGATTGAACAGCTATAATTCCCGGCATCTTCTGGGGATATGGAGTTGAAAACCAATTCTCTTCCTTCTTGCAGAAGACTTCCATTTTTCTTCCAGAAGAACTGGACTTCTTTGGGGCGGCTCTGTGAGAAGTCACATTGGAGGACGACCCGGTTCCCAGCGCGAATCTCTGAACTGGGTGTGGTCTGCAGGACCTTCACATCTCTGGGGGCATCTGCAGGGCAGGGTCAAGGCTGATGTCTCCTGTCTCTTCCCTTCTTGCTGACCCCAGCATTTCCTGTTCCCATGTCCCTGAGTCTGGCTCTTATCCTCCAATTTTCTGTTGAAGATGGTAGGCCAGGCTCCTGCCTCTTTGTCTTTTCAATCCCCATATTCCCTTGGGGTCATACCCCAGATTCCCTGCCCTGTCACTCACACTGAACATCCAGATTGACGGAGGACGACTCTGAACACCACTCGTTACAGGCTTTGCAGGTGATAGGTGGAGTGTCCCAGGAAACCTTGTAAAACCACACTTGGGTGAAAATCTGATTCCAGGAGCTTCCAAGGCTCCAATAAAACCTGGTAACATTCGGGTTACTGGAGTGGTATTCACAGAACAGCTTCACATTGTCTCCTTCTCGGATGGGTGTGGAGTTTTGAATCACCACAGTCACCTTCTTGGGGGGATCTGGGAGTAGACCAAAAAAGCAAGTAAACACCACCAGCTGCCATAATACCTTTTCTTCCTGCTTTCTCTTCCCCCTCCTCCCTGTCTCCCTGCAGTTCCTAATTCGCCCAAGGAGGACTCATGTTTGTCTCTTGCATCTGTGACGACAGAATGCTGCCTTGGCCATCTGCCTGGCTATGGTCTGAGAGAAGGTGATACACTGGTTAAGAGCACAGCTATTGCCAGGCATGTTAGCACATGCATGTAATCCTAGCACTCAGGAGGCTGAGGCAAGAGGATTGCTGTGAGTTTGAGGCCAGCCTGGGCTACAAAGTGAGTTCAAGGCCAGTTTGAACTGCATAGTGAAACCCTGTCTTAAAGAAAGAAAGAAAGAAAGAAAGAAAGAAAGAAAGAAAGAAAGAAAGAAAGAAAAGAAAGAAAGACAGCCATCACCCAGTGCAGTGGTTCAGCTACTTGAGAGGCTGAGGCAGTAGGATTGCAAGTTCAAGGCTAACCACGGTAACGTACCAAGATCCTGTCTCAAAATAAAAAATAAAAAGGGCTGGAGATGCAGGTCAGTGGTAGATTACTTGTTTAGCATTCCTGAGGCTCTGGGTTCAATCCCCAATACTGGAGGATAAAAAAAAAAGCACAATTCTGGAGACAGACCTTACTTCTTAGAGCTGTGAGACTGTGGCCTTTGGGCCTTTACTTGTCTGTCAGGTGGGTTCCTGAGAAGGCTGAACCTCCTGGAATTCTCTAGAGGATGAGCTAAAATAGTGCCCTTCGAGCAGAGTGCGGTGCACAGAAAGCACTGAGGAAACACTGCTGCTGCTGCTGCTGTCATAAATGCTACTGTGTAGACGTAAAAGGCTTGGGCATCCCTGGCCACACGTGACATTTCAAGGTCCAAATATCAAACCTATAGATTCTCTTTGTTCTGGGCTCACATTGACAACCAAATTCAGATCAAGGGTATGACTCACACTTGTAACCCTAGCACTATGGGAAGCTGAGGCAGAGGATTGCAAGTTTGAGTCCAATCTGGGCAACTTAGTCACTTGATAAGCCCTTGTCTCAAAATAAATTTTAAAAGGCACCAGGAATAGCCCTGGATTCAATCCCCAGCACAAAAAAAAAAACAAAAACAAAAAAAAGATTCATAGTGTGAAAGAGATCTGACAATGAAGATATAATTTGAGCCAATTAAGAGGTAAATTGACAGTGAGGAGACACTTGACCCAGTTGTCCTTGAAGCCTCTTCAGAACCACTGCCTGGTGACCCTATTTCCATATTCCTCAGGGAGACTTGGCATCTACATTCATTCATTTATTCATTCTTTCATTCAACAAACATCTACTGACTGTCTTCTAGGGCCCAGGCCCTGGTCTAGTTACTAGGAATGCAACTATGAACACTAAAGCCCCAAGAAGTTTACATGCCGGGAGGCCCTGGCTTCTGCTTGCTTTTTATTCCAAGAACCCAAGAATCCCCTGAACTCTGTCTGCCCTCCTTCTTCCCCCATTTCCCTGTTCTCTCCCAGGAGCCAGAGTCCGTGCAACTGCTCACACTGGACATCCAGCTCAGCACCCTGGCCACTCTGTCCATGGCCATAAATGTTTTCTGCCAAGCAGGAATAACGGCCAGCATGCTCAAGGGAAACGCTGGAGATCTGAAATTTCTCCTCTGTCTCTTCCAGGATTTTGTCCCCATTGTGATGCCAAGTGTAATTTTTTGCAGGAGGATTGGCCAATGATACACAAATCAGCTCTACTGATTTTCCCTCCTTAGCAGGTGATGGGTGGATCTGAACCGTGGAAGGTTCTGGTGCATCTGGAAGAAGGGGCAGAGGCAAATGGGGAAGTGAGGACAGCAGTCCAACCTGGTTAGCAGCCATGACAGCCCTTGCTGTCACCTCTTGAGGCCCCCGCTGACCTCCCCTGCCAGGTCCAAGGAGGCTCACACAGCACTTGGAGATTCACTTCTGCCGACTTGCCCAGGCCCACGGCGTTGGAGGCCTGACAGAAGTAAATCCCTTGTTTCTCCTTGGTCACTTTGGGCAGAGTTAGCGTGGGCTGCTTCTCTTTCATAGGGATCCCATTCTTGAGCCAGGATATAGATCGGTGCTCTGGGTTGCTGCTGGTGACCTGGCACGTCATGTTCACAAAGTCCCCCTTCATTACAATGGCTTCTCTGGGATTGACCTCAATCTTCAACTTCGGACGGTCTGGAGGAACAGAGGGGCAGTCGGGGAGGAGACGGGGATTCTCACAGGGTGGGAGGTATTGAGAAGTACCAGTGCTCTGTCTCTCTATTGCCTTCTCCATGTCCCCTACCAGCAGCAGCAGGATTCCTAACACTGTCATCAGAGTGTGTCAGTCGCTGCTTGAAGTCACCCACTAGATTCCATCCAGGACTACAACCCAAAGCCCTTCCTGCAGCTCAGGAGACCTAGTGTCCTACCCACTCTATCTCCTCTCCTGCCCTGTGGCCCTCAAAGGCAGTGAACTTCAACCTTTCTGACCTTTGGGCTGTATGGCTGACAACCAAGCCCCCTCCTCAAGCTTTAGTACTTGTACTTTTTTTCAGTATCAGAATTGAAACCCAGTTTTTACCCTGAACTATATCCCCAGCCCTTTAAATTTTTTTTTTTTTAATTTTGAGACAAGATTTTGCTAAATCGCTAAGTTACCTAGTCTGGCTTGAATTTGCAATCCTCCTGCCTCAGCCTCCAAGACTGCTGGGATTACAGATGTGTACTTTATCTTTTCTCTCCCTGAAATGTTCTCCTGACCTAGTCTTTCCCATCATTCAGCCAGCGTAAGCATTTGCTTTCTTCAGAAAATTTCCATCCACCATCCCCATCCTCACCCTCATCCTCATGGTATTTTTTTCTCAATACCCATGCCACTGGCTATGATTATGCTATTTTTCCGTGAATCTTCCTGAAATTTTCCTGCCTCCCTGCAATACTAGCTCCATGGGGAACAAGCTGTACCCTTCTTCCAGCTGGCAGTCACAGTAAGGTCTGGTGCCTGGTAGATCTGCAGTAAATATTTACTGAATGAGAATGAATGAATGAATGAATGAATGGGATACAAAATAATGATGGGAAAAATCTCTCCTCAAGGAGGATCAAAGAAACCTGACTGGATGATCCCCAAAGCTTGCGGTGGCTGGGGAACAGATTGCTTCACTCTGCTGGGCCAATGCAGAGACAAAATGAATCTGTAACCTCAATGCCAGGGTTGGCAGGGGGACAGTGGGAAAGCCTGGGTGATTCCTGTTGGTGACCAACTGCAGGATGACTGTGTACCCCTCTCCTCTTACCCTTAGTGGGGCCCAATGGCTGGCTGGAGAGAAGGTGATAAGGACAGCAGCCTTCCCAGGGGAGCATCAGGGAGACTCACGTTTCACATCCAGTTGCACCGTTTTCTCAGAGAGCACTTTGGACGAATGCAGGACCCGGCAGCTCAGGGTCTTCCCATGGTGAGTCCACAGTGGCTTGAACTTAAGCATGCTCTTGGTGAAGATGTTGTCAGTCGAAAGGGAGGTGAAGTTTTCAATGGTAGGAGAGGCTAAGTCGAGCTCCTCCAAAGACCAATGCAATTGGATGTCATACTCAAAACAGGAAAAATGCAGCAAGCAGGTGGCAGTAACCAACTCAGACTCCTTTATTTCTGAAGGTAGGAGCTGGAGCTCAGGTGGAAAAGGGGTTTCTGGAAAAAAGCAGGGATGGGGGGCTGGGGATTTAGCTCAGCGGCATACGCGCCGGCCTTGCAAGCAGGCAGTCCTGAGTTCGATCCCAGGTACTGATAAAAACGAAAGAGACAAAAAAAAAAAAAAAAGGAGGGATGATGCTGGGGGCTAGGGAAGTTAGGGACCCATGGACACACTAGCTATTTATCCCTGGCTTTGGGCACCTGCTTCAAACAATGCCTGCAGGAATCCCTTGCCAGTCCATCTGTTTCCTTATCAGTCAAAAATATGCTCTGAGAGGCTCTGAGGATACTAAATGTCCCTGTAGAATTGTACTTTATTTTCACTTCTTGATTACTTTCTAAATGGTTTCAGGATCTTTCCTCCCATATGCCTGAATTTGGTCCATTTAGTTCAACATGCGTATCTTAGCTTTAATGACATGCTTGTGTTTGCATAATTACCTCAGTTTTGGAGACCCCAAACATGGCTTCCTTTTAGCAGGGTGGTCTCCCCTGGAGCTTTTCTCTCTGGGCTGGATCACTCTCCAGAAAGTGGGGGCTGAGGCAGAGTCTCCTACCCGACCACAGAACTGCTTAGCACCCTCCTCTGTAGAAACAGGCCATGAAGTGCACTGACTATGTTCAGTAGGGCAGAAGCCCCTGGCCCTAGCTGAAGGTTCATCTCCATGCTCTGGAGTCATTAGCCTCAAAGGGCTGATTAGAATCAATCAACAACACTGACACTTCAGGAGATTTCACTTAAACATCCGGGTCCCTATCCTCTCTTGAAAAATCAAAATATCCAGCAAACTGGAACCCAGACTCCAGAATGGACAGGAGATGAGGGGTAAAGGGCTACCTGAGGTGGGCCAAGGGCTCAGGCTACAGTTGACCATAGCCCCATACTGTGCTCCCCATGGCACTCACTGGTGTTCCTGCCTGACCTCTGTCACAACGCAGTTTGTGACTCTTGTCCTGCAGTTAGGTGTTTCCTTACCTCCCTGCTTGACCCTCTGCTGAGTCAGACCATCCCTTTGCCAAGGACTTACTGGAGACATTGAGGTATAGGTCCTCCATCCATTTGTCTGCTTTCTCTTGGTCTCCTTTCTCTTTTTTTCCTCCCCATGTCACCCTCATTCCGAGCTTGCCACTGTCTTCAATATTCACTGGGTTGATGCTCAGGGTACAATTTTCTTCTGCCTTTTTCACTCTGTTCTGATAAGAAAAGCTCTCACTGTTGTCTGTCTTCTTATATAAAACAGTCCCTTTGAATTCTTTAATGTCTTTGTCATATTCAGGATTGTGGTACAGCGTGAAATTATCCAGGAGCATTTGTTCCTCTTGATTTTTGTATGTACAGGGAATCCAGACGCAGGCTCCCTCCCAGGCGTAGATAGTTTGGGGGTGTTTAAATGTCCAGCCTGATGAGCCACAGAAAACTGGGTACTCTGAAATCCATGACAGTGATCAGAAAGTGTCATTGAGGGGGGTATGGAGAGCTTTCAAAAGAATCAGAGATCCTCTCTGAAGACCCATGAACAGATGAGATACACAGGAGGAACAAGACACAAGACACAGCACGAATCTCTCTCCGTGTGCACACTGCCTGCCCCCACGCACAAGACCTGCCCTCCTTGTCCAGTGCCCAGTGATACCCCCGAACCCAGGTACCTGCCTTGCCACAGGAGCAGCAGGAGCCCGAAGCCAAGCAGATGCATGTTGTCCTTTCTGGCGGGAGTCTCAGCTGGAAAGAGTTTGTTTTTCAGTCATCTGGTTACTTACTTCTTGGCTACTCACTGAGCTCTGGCCTCTTTCTCCTGACTCTGGAGTTTCATGGTGGGGATGTGGAATTTGGGGTCCCTTTCCCTGGTCGGTGGACTTGTTCTTCAGCGAATCAGCTTCCCTCCTCTTTTCTTCCTTCCTCCCTCCCTCTCTTCCTCCCATTCATTCACCCAAACATCTGTACTTGTCTGAACTTCCTGTCCAGCTCTCAGACTCAGAGTAGCATCAGATCACTGCAGCCCAAACTGAATGCACTGAGCAACAGGGATCTTTCCTAGAGGCCACTGGTGAAGGGTTTTACAAAGAGCAGAGTCAGGGTCACATCTTGATTTTAAAAACGAGATAAAAAGTCATTCTAAAATCAGTCATGGTATACGAAACCAGAAGAGTATTTAATGGAAACTGGAAACTGGAGAATGTGGCCCAAGGGATCTACACATATGCCTCAGGGACTGGGTAGAAACATCAATCAACCAGGACCAAAGTCCTACCTTGTCTCAAGGTGGTGGCTGTCTCAGTTTAGACAGCTATTGCTGAGTAGGAACGGGGGTTCTGCAGTCTGATCTTTCACTGCTCTCAGTGAAAAAAGAAGCCAGATTTTCATGTGAAATGTCCTGTTTTAAAAACAACACAAATGCCTGTAATCCCAGCACACGGGAGGCTGAGGCAGGAGGATTATTACAAGTTCGAGACCAGCCTGGTTTACAAAGCGAGTTCAAGGCCAACCTGAATTGCAGAGAGAGACCCTGTATCAAAGCCAAAAAAAAAAATGAAGAACACAACGCATCAGGTGTGATAGCGGGTGCACGCCTATAATTTTACCACTCTCAGAGGCTGAAGCAGAAAGACTGTATTTGAACCCAAGCTGGACAACTTAGCAATTTAGCTAGCCCCTCTCTCAAAATGAAAAAGTTAAAAATGACTGGGAATGTAAGTCAGTGTGAATGTGTTAGGTTTAGTCCCCAGGATCGCGTTAGGGGGTGGACAGTGTTCTGGTCAAACAGAACTTATCTGTGGGCTGAAGGCAGCCATGGAATCACCAATTTGTGAAAGATTCTGTCTGTCTCTGTCTCTGTCTGTCTGTCTGTCTGCCTCTGTGTGTGTGTGTGTCTCTGTGTGTCTCTCTCTGACTCTGTCTCTGTCTCTGTCTCTCTGACTCTCTCTCTCTCTGTGTCCATGTCTGTGTGTGCGTCTCTCTCTGTCCCTCTCTGTCGCTCTTTCTCTGCCTCTGATTGTCTCTCTCTCTCTCTTTCTCTCTCTCTCTCTGTGTCTCTCTCTGTCTGTCTCTCTCTCTCTGTCTCTGTGTCTCTGTCTCTCCAACAAACTCACCCTCCACCATCTTAATAGAGTTTGAATAGAGTCACACTTATATTTACATAGAGCTAAATTTAAGTCCCTATTTATGTGATTGTCACCTCTTTGCTGGCCCCCAGAGAGCCAGGGCAGGAAGTACTCACAGAGTGTGTCTCCGGTGTCAGCACAGACCCGTGTTCCTTCCACCCACCTCACTGACATTTCCCACACCAGCATTGCATCAGTGACCCCCTATGGCTGCAGGTTGCACACTGGGGGTGTTGGGTATCGGGTACCAGCTGTGGGGAAATCTAAGCTGCTTGCTGAAAGCAAGAGGGGGCTCTGTCCTCAGCATTAAGGACAGACCTGGCCTGGACATGAATAGATGAAGCCAGGTGAGATCCTCCCAGGCAGAACTGTCCTCAGATTGGCAGGTACTAAGAATGTTTCGCACAAAAAGAAACTCATCAAAGTCATAGTCACTTGGGGGAAGCTGGGCTAAAAATTTAAGCTAGGTTCTTTACAACAGGACTTTTCAAACTTTTAAAAAGCTCTATATCAGTGAGGGCGATCTATGGCACGCGTGTCACAGCATACATATTTGTATCACTGAAAGCCCTAAAAGGTTTGCCACAACCGCTTTGTATGCATCATAAATCTCAAACATGAGATTTGGAGTGTAGTACACTACCCACCCTTCTTTGGCCATGAGATTGGTATTACCTTATCCACCAAAAGCTCTGCAGGATTGGAGGATTAGATCTTTCCATGAGCTGGAGAGGGCCAATTCTAGAGCAGGACTGTGTGCCCACCCAGCATGGGCAGTCTCTGAAGCATAAGCAAAAGGGGACCATGTGCTCACATCGGCAACACACGTATTCAGAGAGGAGGACCGTGCCTGGGAAGGGGAAGGCTGAGGAGGCAGATGGGGTGGGAAGCCATAATCATTAGGCACAAAGCTCAAGGCAACGGCACACTGTCCAGATCTCTGCCCTGCCCAATGCAGGCCTTTCCAGGCCTTTGAGCCAGCTTCCCGGACCTCATTATCTCCTGCTAGGCACCCAGTGGCTCACCCCATTCTCAGAAGACTCTCCAAGCCTTGCCCAATGACAGGAGTCTGGCTACAGCCTGCTATAATGCAGCGAGAGGCGAGAGTGGTCCCTCTGTCCTCCCACCTCTGGGCACTGTGTCCGGCACCAAGCAGGTCACTCTGTGCTTTGTGTTGAATACAAGAGACACAGAGAGAGAGAGAGAGAGAGAGAGAGAGAGAGAGAAGAGCTTTTACCTGTTTTCTGGTGTCTTCCCTCTGCGGGGACCCTGGTGGCATCTAAGAGTGAAAGGAGAAGTACAGTGATGCCTTCTGTGACTGATTTTCACCCTTCTTGGCCACACCCCCTGCCTCTCTGTGGCTCTGAGAGTGACCACAGCGTTGTGATCTGGCCAGCCAGGGAAAGAGGCCTTCGCGGGGACAAGAGCTCAGAGTCAAGCTGGACGGAGCACTTGGACACGCGTGGTCAGGTCTTTAGTATCAGATCAGTTTCCAAACTGGCTTTTCCACAACACCCTCAACGACTGGTAGCATAACTAGGTGGAAAATTGGCAAGGATCTAAATGAGCTCAACCACTAATCTGTGTGATGTCATCAGCCAACGAGTTTAATCAAAATACAGAGAACCATCCCTTCAACAACATCATAATACATATTCTCTTCAAGAATATGGAGTACATAACAAGATGCATTGTATCTAGGACCATAAAAGCAATAAAAGAAATCTCAGAAATGTGAAATAATTTAAAGTATACACTATGTTCTGTAGCCACAACAGAATCAAATTGGATATCAATAATACAGAAATAAAAGCAAAAATTCCAAACACTTGGAAACTAAACAAACTATTCCCAAGTAATCCATGGACCAAAGGAGAATTCTCAAAGGAAATAAAAAAATATATTGAGCTGGAAGAAAAAAACAATGTATTAATTTTGAGGAGGACACAATTTAGGCACAAGAGGGAATTTTAAGTACTAAATACTTACTCCAGAAAAGAAAAAAAAGGCAAAGCTGGACAAATTATACTTCCTGACTTCAAAATATACAACAAAGATAAAATAATTAAAGCTGAGCTTTTTACATAAAATCATATGGTATTGGCAAGAAAACTGACACATAGACCAAGGAACAAAATTAAGAGTCCATAAGTAACTGCATATATCTACAGCTAACTAATTTTTGTCAAAGGTGCTAAGACTATTGGCTGTCCTTTAAATAAGTGGTGCTGGGGATATTAGGTTAAAAAATAGCTAAAAATGAATTACATGTAACAACTGAAACAAACCTCTGGGAGAAATGTGTCAAGACATTGGAAAGGACAAGGAATTTTTTGAACAAGATGACAAAAGCACAGGGAACAAAGCAAAGGATAGACATGTGAGATTTCACCAGACTAAGAAAGTTTCTGCCCAGCAAAAGAAATCATTATCAGAGTGAAGGGACAATTTGCAGAATGAAAGAAAATATTTACAAGCTATACATTTGAAGGGGTCAGTAATCAAAATATATAAGGTACTCAGCTCAATAGCAAAAGCAGGGCTGGGGATTTAGCTCAGAGGCATAAGCACCTGCCTTGCAAGCGCGTGATCATGAGTTCGATCCCTGGTACCAGTAAAAAAAAAAAAAAAATAGCAAAAGCAAAACAAAAAAACAAATAACTTGACTTAAAAATGGATAACAGAACTAAATAGATGCTTCTTAAAAAGAAGACATTCAAATGTCCAAGACGTGTATGGAAAAATGCTCAGTATCACTAATCATCAGAAAAAATGCAAATCCAAACCATAATGAGCCAGCATCTCACCTCACTCCAGTAAAAATGGATGTTACAAAAAAAGACAAAAGCTCACTGCTACTGGCAATGTGATGTAGGCACAAGAGAACATTCACACACAGCTGGCGGGAATGAAACTTAGCACAGGTTGGCGGCTCCTCCAAAAATCTTCAGAACCCAGTGCTTGGTAAAGCATTCTTGAACAGGACACCAAAAGCATGACCCTTAATAATTAATACATTTGACTTCATCAGAATTAAAATTTTGGGCTTTGTGAAAGAACCCATTAAGAAAATAGAGACTTGGAGAAGAATTTTACAAACTATATATCTGACAAAAGAGTCATTGTAGAATGAATATGTGAATATTTTTATGGGATAAAAATCCCACAATCTAATTAGAAGCTGGAAAAAAGACATAAAGAGACATTTTACTGAAGAGGATATAGAGACTGAAAATAATCACATGAAAATGTTCAGCTTCACTAGCCTTTTTAGGTAAATGCATACCAAGACCATGATGAGATACCACCATGACATACATATTAAAGCCTTATACTTTAAAACAAAGAAGTATAGCAACTCCTGTAGAGCATGTGCAGAAACTGAATCTTTTATGTATTGCTAATGGGAATGTAAAATTGCCCATCAGGCTCTTCAAAAGATTAAGCATAGAATTACTGCATGACTTACTCATGTATATATGAAATGAACCATGTCCACCCAGGAACTTGAACACAAATGTTCATAGCACCATTATTTAGGACAGCCCAAAAGAAGCCCAACCCAGATACCCCTCAAGCAATGAATGAATGTGTAAGTAAAATATGGTATATCCATACAATGGAATACCTGGCAATAAAAAATTAATAAAGTGCTTATAATAGTTGTCACAACATGGATGGACCTAAGAATATTAAGTGAAAGAAATTAATTACAAAATATCATATATTTATGATTCCATTATATCAAATGTCCAGAAAAGAAAAGTTGGTACAGGCAGGAAGTAGATTTGGGGTTTGCCAAGGGCTGCATGTTGGAGTGTTGAGAGGAAGTGAACAATGATTTCTAATGGGTGTGAATTATCAGAGGAGGGTAAATGCCCTAAAATCATAGTGATGATTTTGTAACTCAGTTAATATATTTAAAACCATTGAATTCTATACTTTAGATAGGTATGTTGTGCATTTATGCTAATTATATCCTAGCAAAAGTGTTAACATATAATAAAAACCAATTTGATTTAAAAGGGGCAAAAGGTAGCTCAGCGGTGAGCATTTGTCCAACATGCCTGAGGTTCTGGATCCAGTGCCCAATACTGAAAACAAAATGGACAAAGCCCATGGAGACACATTTCACTAAATAGGATATATTGATGGCAGTAAACACATGGAAAGATTTCAACCTCACTGGCCATTAGTAAAAAGCAAATTAAAACCAGTGTTTGCCTATTTCAAGTAGGAAAAAGAAGTAGCAATACCAAATGTTACTGAGGATGCTGTGAACCTGGGTTTTTCATGCGTTGCTCGTGGGAATGTACAATGGTACAAAACACTCTAGAAAACAACTTGCCAGTTTCTCTAAAAACTGAACTAAATGTACTTACCATATAACGTATCAGTTAAACTCCTAGGCATTTTATCCCCCAGCAAATAAAAAATGTGTCCACTCAAAAGCTTATATGAATAATTCACCATAGCAACAGACAGCCCTGCAGACATGTCCTTCAGTAAGTGAGCGGTTAAATAAACTGAGGTGTACATACACTGTGAAATATAGTCATCCTCCCATGTCTGTGGGTGATTTCACCTACATCCTGACAGATGCCAAGATCTGTGGAAGCTCAATTTCCTTATATAAAAGACATGATGTTTGTGTATAACCTAAGCACATCTTCCTGTACAGTTCATTTATTTTTCTGTCGTGCCGGATATCAAGCCCAGCGCCTTGCACATCGTAGGTAAGTGCTAAGCTTCATCCCAAGACTATCTTATCAACTTTAAATCATCTCTAGAATATTTCTAATACTTAACAAAATATAAATGCCAGGTGAATAGTTGTTACACTACTGCTTTTAGAAAATAATGACAAGAAAAAACTCTACTTTTTGGTACAAGTGCAATTTTATTTTTCAATGTTTTTGATCCACGGGTGATTGAATCTAGGAATGTGGAGTTTGCAGACATGAGGGTGATTAGAAGGAAGGAAGTGTGAATGTATGCAACAAAAACAATGTGGAGGGTTCTGGAGGTCATTATGCTGTGTGAAAAAAAAGCCAGCCTCAAAGGGTCACATGCTGTGTGACATTCTTTAGATGACAAAATTATAACGATAAAGAACTGATTGCTGGTTGCCAGGGCTTAAAGATTGCAGGACATGGTAGCACATCTGTGTAGGAGGTCACACAAGGGAGATCTTTGTGGTGATGAGCTGGTCCTATATCTTGGATGCAGTGGTAGCTACATATGTGACAAAACAATGTGGAACTGTGCACATGGCAGCTTTGATTTCAACTTCCTGGTCTTGTAGCATAATTATGTAAGAAGGAGCTGTGGAAAGAAGCTGCGTGAAAGTCACAGTAGATCTTTCTGTTCTATCTTTGTAACTTCCTGTGTCTATAATGATTTCCTTTTTAGTGTGTGTGTGTGTGTGTGTGTGTGTGTGTGTGTGTGTGTGTGCGTGTGTGTGTCCTTGAGACAGGGTCTTGCTTTGCAGTTCATACTGCAAAGCTCACTTTGTAGCCCAGACTGGTCTCAAACTCACAGTGATCTTCCTGCCTCAGCCCCCCAAGTGCTAGAATTACAGGCATGTGCTATAATCCTTCCAAAATTGAAGGGTCAATTTAAAAAGAGCCAGAAATCTCAGTATGGGACTTCAAGCTTGGAGATCAAGTCACAAATGTCTCATGCAAGGGACCCTTCAGGACTGCAATCTCTGATCCTCCCCTGGCAAGATGGCTGAGGCCTCTGCCGGCCCCCATGTCAGCCACTACTGAGAGTCCTATAACTGCAGGAAACTGGTTGATGGGCTGATGGCACGTATCTGGTTTCTGGAGGCAAAGGATGGCACTCCTGAGAAAGGCAGCATTGATGCCGTACTCTTCCTTCCATCTGTCCTTACAATGAAAGGAAGGGTCTCCATTTTGGGAGACTTGACTGTCTCCTGATCACTGGAAAAGCAGTGAAGTCAGACAAATAAGCGGGCACCTGGAGCTCTGGGCTGCCACTCCCAGCTTAGTTACATGGAGCACCATCCCCTGCCTGGCTCCATAAGATGGTAATGATCGTGGTGCCTTCCTCTAGGGTCAGTGAGATCACGCGTGCGACCCACTCCGCAGCATGGGATGCCTGGATTCAAATCCCCATTCTCCTTTTGTAACTTGTGACATCCACTCGGTTTCCCCTTTAAAAATGATCCTGACACTGGCATTAGTTTCTCTATGGGGGTGATGCAACATCACCCTTGGCATCATCATAAG